TATACCTCCCATTTTAACTTTTCCTTTGAACAAATCCTATTTATCTAAGTACTTATATCACCCTGCTCACTGTAGTATCTGAGCATCTCACAAGCATTAGTGGATTTTATCCACAATACGTGTGACACTGGAAGGTATCATCCCCATTTTACAGGTTGCGAACTGAGGCACATGGTAGACCAAGAGACTTGGTCAGCATTACATAGGAAGTCTGTGACTGATCCAGGAACCAAATGCAGGTCTCTTGACTCCCAGTCCAGCATCCTATCTTTTAGCCCAGGGGCGGGCAAACTTTTTGGCCTGAGGGCCACATTGGGTTTTGGAAATTGTATGGAGGGCTGGTTAGGGGCAGCTGTGCCTCCCCAAACAGCCAGGCATGGCCCGGCCCTCGCCCCCTATCCACTTCTCACTCCCTGACACGCCCCACCCCCGGACCCTTGCCCCATCCAACCACCCCTTCTCCCTGTCCCCTGACTGCCCCCGGAACCCCTGCCCCTAACTGCCCCCTGCCGCCCCATCCAACCCCCCCCTCCTTCCTGACTGCCCCCCTGTGACTCCTGCCCCCATTTAACCCCCCGGTTCCCCATCCTCCTGACCCCATCCACGCTCCTGCCCCCTGACCACCACCCCGAACTTCCCTCTATCCAACCCCCCAGCTCCGTGCCCCCTTACCGCATTGCCTGATGCACCGGTGGCGGCTGCCCGGCTGGAGACAGCCACGCACCGCACAGCACAGAGCACCAGGTCAGGCCCTGGCTCTACAGCTGCGCTGCCCCAGGAGCTCACAGCCACGCCGCCCAGAGCATTGCACCTGCAGCGCAATGAACTGAAGCTGCGGAGGAGGGGGAACAGCAAGGGAGGGGCCGGGGGATAGCCTCCCAGGCCAGGAGCTCAGGGTCCGGGCCGGATATGGCCTGCGGGCCGTAGTTTGTCCACCTCTGTTTTAGACCATTCTTCTGTTTCACATTGGTTTAAATGTACTTCTCGGATATGACTTTCAGTATGCATCAGCAGATGCCAGTACAGAAAATATGACCTCATTGTTCCGTGGGCCTACACTAATATAAAGCATTTGCAGCATATTAACCTTTAAGATATAACCCATTTTTGAACAGTACAAAGTAACTTGAGATGGGACGTAACACAATATGATATGAAAGTGGCTTCTGTCTACAGACGCGCACACACACACAAACACACGGGGATATAAGAACAGACAATTTGCAACTTTCATATCATGGTAGGGATTTTAAAAGATGTATAGGTCAGGTTATGCTTTGCCATTGCAATATCCGTGCCTGGGCAGATTTAGGCAGAGAACTCAGTTTCAACTTAAGTTTCCTGACTAATTATCCCATCATTGAGAGGGGAGGGGGCTAGTTTTCTGGCCCAAGATATGTGTGTGGTTTGGGGCCATCCAACCCAGTGCCACCAACCCTTGTGGAATCCTGCAGATACTCACACATCTATGGTGGGCCACTCTGAAGCATCTCCTGGACCTGGCAGAATTGTTCCTAAAATAACTTTGCTGACACAATCTTCTCATTTGTGCCTGGGCCAGCCCTTCTCAATGGCACGGAGTAGGCTCTCCAGGGAGCTGATGCTGACTGTCAGCATTATTTTCTGAGGAAAGAATTCCCCAGGGCTAGACAGAGCATTTCTCTCTCCCTTCTCTCTGTGGGAGCCTTGAAAGGACAGAGATTCCACAGGTTTAGGGAAATAGAGCATACTTCCTCTTAGATTTCTCTCATCTCCTTTGTCACCTGCCCTCACCCTCATGCCTTTACCAGTCAATCTTGTCTTCCCTTTTAGGGTGGTGATTGATTAGGTGAAATGATGCAGTCTAAGTTTTAGCCTTTGTTCTTTTAGTTGTAAAAATGTTTTTCAGTGTAGCCAGTTGTTGGTGGGTTATGGAGAGTTGAGTATCTGGCTGCTTCCGGCTTCTTCCATGAGTCTTGGTCTATGCACTTGCACCGCTTACTGTTTTAATGAATCCTCCATTGCTTCTTAAATTAGTAGGATATTGGGACTTTACTGTGACTGGCTCATGGGTACTGAATTCTTTCACTCTCCCCCTTTTCTAAATTTATCTTGATTTTATTTGCCCATGCTGAAACTCAACCTCTAAAAAAAAGTTTTGTTTCGTAGGACATGTATATTCACATATATATATGTATATTTGTGTACACACACATATATCAATTGAGCATTATTAGTTTCATATTTGCCTACTCTTGCCGTTTTTACCCCTTCTTTTTCACCCCTTGACTGGTTTAATTAGTTAAATTTTTAACAAGTAAACTTTTATTTTAGTGATATTTAAAAAGCATATTTTAAACAGTTTGTATTTTGCTGTACAACATAGTGCCTCAGGTGTGCAAAGGTGGGAGAGGTGTTGGAGTTGAATCATTGATAAATTTTTTTTACTTAAGCAAAGGAAGCGAGGCATCTTTCAGCAAGTTAGTTATCCATCATGATGGCTTTAGTTGCAAAAAACTGCTCATGTATTGTAAGCAGATCAAGACAGGGAGACAGGTGATATCTGCTTTGGAATTAATATGGGGATGGGGTGTCTATTGTCCGTGCCATTTATTTAATTGAAGATAAAGTTCTTGGACTGAAGTGTGAACTGAAACTGTGGTCAGGGAATTACATTAACTACTACTCCCTCCTCAGGATTACCACTGTATGTATTTTTAGATCTAGATCAGGGGTCTCAAACTCAGATGACCTCGAGGGCCGCATGAGGACTAGTGCATTGGCCCGAGGGCTGCATCACTGACACACCCCCGCTTGCTGCCCCTGGCCCCGCCCCCACTCCACCCCTTCCATGAGGCCCCACCCCTGCCCCCATTTCAACCCCTTCCCTGAAGTCCTCACTCCAACTCTGCCCCCTCCCTGCCTCCAGGGGAGGCAGGAGGGGTGTGCAGTGTGGGGGGGCTCAGGGCAGGGAGTTGAGGTGCAGGAGGTGTGCAGGGTACAGCAGGGAATTGGGGGTATGGGGTGCAGGAGGGGTGCAGGGTGCTGCGGGGGCTCAGCGCAGGGAGTGTAGGAGGTGTGCAAGGTGCAGCGGGGGCTCAAGGCAGAGAGTTGGGGTGTGAGAGGGGTGAGGGGTGCAGCAGGGGGTTGGGGTGCAGTGTGTGGCAAGGGGCTCCAGGCAGGGGGTTGGGGCACAGGAGTAGTGAGGGGTGTAGGGTGTGGCAGGGGGCTCTGGGCAGGTGGTTGGAGTGCAGAAGGAGTGCGGGGTACGGGCTCCAGCCCGTTGCTACTTACCTAGAGCGGATCCAGGGTGGCAGTGCCGCGCACCGCAGCCAGGGCAGGCTCCCTGCTTGCCTGCCCTGTCCCTGTCCCTGCTCTGCTCCGCTCTGCTCTGCTCCGCTCCAGGAAGCAGCCGGAGTCCCTTGGGGGGCGGGGGGGAATGGCACCAGGTGCTGCTCTTGTTGCTCCTCCAGGTACCTCCCCCAAAGCTCCCATTGGCCGCGGTTCCCGGCCAATGAGAGCTGCAAGAGCACGGAGCCCTCTCCTGCCCGGGGCTGCAGGGACATACAGTAGTTCAGCCGCTTCAGGGAGCGGTGCGGGGCTTGTGGCGGCACGGGGTAGGTGAGGGGGAGGGGGCGTGGGGAGCTTGGCGGGCCGCACAAAAGAACCCCACGGGCCGCATGCGGTCCGCGTGTTTGAGACCCCTGGTCTAGATCGTGTTTGCTGAATGGAAGTGAATTAATGAAGTGAATAGAACTCTCTAAGTGAGAGTGTTGTTATGGGGTGTATGATGTGTGTTATTGTTCACTCACCAAAGAATTATAATGCACCATTTGCATGGAATTTTGTATGACAATCTAGGCTTCTTGAAATTCTGTTCCTCATAGGTTTAAGCATTGGGTGCAAGGGGGTCATATTCTTCCCCTCGCCCAAAGTTTTACTATCCTCACCCTCAGGGTGGCTATAAGAATAGTGTGTTCTCTCTACACATTTTTTTTGTTTTAATGTGGTTGCATCACTAATATTCCCCAATAATGGACCGAATTGAAAAATGCCCATCTTGCCTTTCTTAAAACAATTTAAAAAGGTTATTTCCTGTCTCTTTATTCCTCTCCCTGCTCACTCTACTTAACTAGCACTGGTGTCTTTTGTTTCCCTTTACACTATTGGAGTTAAGAGCCTTCTCTTCTGTACCTCCTGCATACTATGTCTCTCCACTGCAGGATCTTTTAGGACAACATCCTCAGATGGTGTAAACTGGCATTGCTCCAATTGAAGTCAGTGGCACTACACCAGAGTACACCAACTGACAATCTGCTCCCCAATTTCTCTTCAAATCCACTAAAACCATATATTTTATTCCTTGCGTATAACTCTGAGAGAAATTCTCTGTTGTTTACTGTACACAATAAGAGCTTGATTTATACAGCCCCCCCCTTAATAAAACAAATAGGCTTACATGAAGTCAAACTAAGGATTTGAATGAGGATTTCATATCACTAAGGGTTTCAGGATTGGGGTCTAAAATTGTAAGTAATACTGAATTACAAAATGCTACAGAATGTGTTTATGAATAGGGTAGGTAATGAGTTCTTGGCTTCTTCTGTTGTTAGTTTATTAATAAAGTAAAAATATAGTAACAAATATTTTTTTTAATATTTCTAACCAGAGCTGCCATAGAGTGGAATAAAGTTGATGTGCAAGGTTACAGAAAAATGATGAACAATGTAATATAGGTGAAGTTTTCCCATAAGGCCAAAATCATTGGCTACATTGCTACTTGTTTCAATGGGACAGTTGATGCATAGGTTGATTTGATTCACTGACATGGTGTCAGGCTGTCATGAAACGCAACAATAAAGCTCAATGCCTTTAAACATTTTTAGGAAATATGGCAGAAAGAGAGCTCTGCCAAGACGGTTACCACGGCAATGTCGAAGAATGCTGCAGTGACATGCGAGCAGAGCATTCTCCCAACTAGTGAAAAATGATCTGCTTTTCATGTGCTTCTCTTTCCATAGGGAGAAGTTGTCTGTGGCTCAGCTGCAGCGGGAAGTTGCGCGAAGTAAGAGTGAAGGGACAATGGTAAGTGTTGGCTAATATCTGTTTTGCAATTCCAGTTGTTCCCTTTCTATTCAGGCCTCAGACACATTTCACCTTCCTGAGGGTGGCCACTGAAATATTAGTCTTGCATTAGGCTTAATGATGTTTTTGCCAGTGATGATTTTGGAAAAAAATCAAAGCTATTCCAGAAACACCCTTGCCTTGGAAATACTTATATTAGGCTGAGAAATAGTCTCCTTTGCCCTGGTGATGGGCTCTGCTGGAAATTCACACTGAGACTTAGGCAAGCATCACCGTGAACCTAAATAGGCAATATCAGATTGAGAGATTAGGTTTGTTTAGTCATCAGTTGCCCCTCCCAAGCTGTGAAAAATGGAAAAATTAAAGTAAGGAAGATTAAAGAAAGAAAAGAAGACCAGTTTGCTAACTTTATAAATTTTAAGCTTTTAATTTATTTTTTGCTTTTCATTGGTTGTCTGTTTTCCATGTATTAAGCTTGTGGGATGAAGATTGTGAGTTAAAAACGGGCATGGCTGGTTTTAGTTAACTATAACGTCAATTGATAGCATGCCTTATTGTAACCCACACACCTCCTGGGTGTGGTGTTCTGTCCCATCTAGTGGCACTGAGACCACTTAGAGAGCGAGGGAGATTAACGAGTCTGCTCTACAGCCTTGACAAAGAGCCATATGGCTTTTAGCTCATGTGGTAGAGGCTCATGCACTAAGTTCCAGAGGTCCCAGGTTCAATCCCACTTGCCGACAACCAGAGTCTGTCGGCGTTACGTTATCATACTAAAACAACATCAATTTTGCCCCAACCATTTATTGACACTGCCTAATTTATTTGAAATCCAGAGAACCTTTCCTATCTGAGAAGGATTCTATTTATCCCTGTCTTCACCTGAAAAGTCTGAGGGACCCACGGGATAAAGCAGACATGTTCAGGATTCCTAAAACAAAACCCATTTCCCTTGGACATGTGCATGAGGCTGCCATTGACTAAAATGGAATCATTTAGTTGGATCTGAAGACAGAAATTGGCCCATAGTTTGTTAAACTAAGTGGAGAGAGTCTGAAATAGAGACCCATGTGAGGAGTGCATGTGGGCATGTAAAAACTCCATTAGTCCTGTGATGCAAAGTCTTGAAAACCTTAACATTTCAACAGTTCCCTTTTAAATATCTATATCTATCTATCTAAGCCATATTTAATGACCGGTATAATAAAATGAGAGAGATTTGGAAGGCATAATTGGCAGCATGCAGATAAAGATGAGTTTGATTCTGAAGCTATGGTTTTAATGGAAGCTGAAGCTAGACAAATTCTAACTGGAAACAAGGAGCAAATTTTTAATAGTGTAACTGACACTGCAATTAACCATTGTAAAAAACTTACCAAATTGTTATGGTGGATTCTACATCACTGCCAATTCGTAGATCAGGATTGGGTTAGAGCATATCGTTTAGAAAAAAATATCCAAACAGGAATTAATTCATGGAATTCCAGTGTCCTGTGTTATGCAGACAGTCAGACTAGATGGTCACAATGGTCCCTTCTGGCCTTATAAATTATGACTCTACTGTATGTATTGGAGCAGAGCTCATATACAAGCTGAGAAAACCAAATACTTTCCAGTGTTAAATCATAATCTAGGAGTCTGTAACTCAGACAAAACTCCCACTGACTTCAGAGAGAGTTTTGCCTCATGAAAGATGGCAAAGTTCAGGCCTCAGGTTTGCCACTGTGTATTAGTTTTCAGTATAAATAATTTTACATAAGTACAAAGTGCTGTTAACTTGATTGAAATGTTTCCTTTAATTTTATAAACTAGTTTTCCTTGTAGGCATAGAACTAATGCAGTATCTTAAATGTGAAGTACTTCTTGTGGGATAATTCTAGGCTCTTTAAATAAGTAATATTAACCTTCTAGACATACATACTTTTTGAGTACATGTGATTCCAGAGCATGCTTATCATACGTCAGGTAGAAAAATCTACGCTATTTGGATTTGCTTCCCTACACAGGGGGATGCTAGTTAATTTCAGCCATAACTTATGACCAGCTGTTGTCTCCTATGTACAGCCCAAGGAATTATAGACAGGAAAGACCTGTTGCGCTATCTCGTCCACCCACCATTACAGGAATCGCTGCAGTGGGGATTATTCAGAAAGAGCAATAATTAAAAGTAAACATTAAGCATGTGTTTTAGATCCTATTTAAGCTGTGATATCTTTGCTCTAAATATGAGTTATACACATCTGTATAAATAACACATGTGGTAAGCAATGATGAAATGCATCTTTACGAGGAGAGACTGTTGAGTGCCACTCATGGTGAGGTATCCCATCTTTTTGCGAGAGAAGAGATCAGGAGGAAACAATATATGATACCAAGCTATCAGACTCACATAGGAAATGCATTTTTGTAAGTCCTTGGCTCCCAGAGTTACACTATCTCAGTGTTCAATTTATTCCTGGCAGTAGATATACCAGGAAATGCTGAGGTGAAAGGATTAAAATGAAGATTTTTTTTTTCCCTTCAAGCTAAATCGTCTCTTCCAAAAAATACATTTTACTGATATAATAAATACATTTTTACACAAGAATTTTATAAAAACTGGTGTGTCACAACTAGAGTTCAGTGAATGTAGGGAATATATTATTTGATACATATGAAATGGAAAAATAGGCTAAACTTATCTGTGAAGAGTTTGATTTGCTTAGATTTATTTATTGTTCACAGTTTTTTTACTGGACCATCTTCACAAATAATTTTTGATTTGTAGAACTGTCAAATTGCACAGAGACTTTATTATTAATTATGTTTATTACAATAATGCCTCAGGGACAACCAAGAAAGGAGGCCCCATTGTGCTAAGCACTGTACAAACAGTATAGTGGATGGTCCGAGCCTAGAAGAGCCTACAATCTAAACAGACAAGACAGACGCAGGTTAGGGTAGGGGAAAGGGTGGAACACAGAAGTAGAGTGAACTACTTGATGGTAGCAAACATTAATTCCATATGTTCGTTTGTTTGAGTTGGGTGGGTTTACGTAAGAGGGGATAAACTAAAAGGAAGGGAAGGGAGCGAGGAGGACTGGGCAAGGAAGAAGTGGGGAAGGTGTCGTGTGAAGCTAAAGTGAAAAAGACTAAGGGATGGGGAGCAAGAGAGTTGAAACAAACAGTCAGTCAGCACAGCGCAGAGAATTCCAGGCAGAGCTCTGGAAAGTTGTCCGAATGTCCAGAGATCCTCTAGAAAAGGCCCTAAAAATTTATCTAGAAACTGAAAGCATGACTAGATCTCCAGGCTTCATTTACTGCCCTTACTACATAATTCTTAACCATGCACATTTAAAGTCTTGAGTTAAAAAAAAAATTAAGATGTCAAAGGCATTTTCCTTCACAAAAGACTAAAAGCTACATTATACCCTCAAATATGTGCATCTCTCATTGAAGCCAATGAGAAATGTGTAAATATCTGTGATGGCAGAATTTTTATTTTCAAATTTAGGAGCTTTAAAAATAATCCAAGTAAGAGTTTATTCCAGAACACAGAAGTATACGGAAACATCTGAAATAATCAAAGAAGTTGTTTCCTCGGACTCATGTAACTTAAAAATAACCAAATAATATTTTACCAAACTTTCATCAAACACCAAAAATAAGAAAACATCTCTTCGGGTTCAGCACAAGACTAAATTTCTTGAACATTGAGTGCCTGAATCGGGAACTTGCAATGAAAATGCCTTCTCAGCTGTGTGTCACTGCAGCAATGTTCTAATTGTAAAACAGTTGTTTTGGAATTGAAAACCTAGAGTGTACTAAAACTATACAAAGTGCACCACAGTCTGACTCACATTCATATTCAAAGACAAGTAAAACTTCAAACACTTTCGTGTCTGTTTGTATATATGTGCACTATAATATATTTGTTTACTAGTCATTTTTATTAGTTTCCTGCATCTAAGTACTATAATTCTAACCAACTTTTCTTTAGTTCATTGACCAGTAACCCACACAGAATAAATCCTAGTACTCAATCAATTTATGAAAGTTAAAGTGGTACGATATTGTCTTTTATGTCTACATGGGTCTCACTTAGGGTGGGCCTTAGGCTCTGATTTACCATGTTTCCTGCTGTGGATTTAAGTAATGCAAAGTGATTATCATGGCTTCTTCCTTGTATCCATCTATTTCACACCTGCACCCTTTTGTTAGAAACACACCATATTAACTGAATATAAGGTCCCCACTGAATAGGTTTCCACCCTTCTGTAATCCTCCTGCATTAGATTGATTTATGAATGTATCAGATTCTTTGTTAGCATGTAAACCACTAATTAATTTAAAGCCCTCTGTGGAGAAATTAAAGCCCTGGTTAAGACTTTCAACAGGCTCAGATGGTGCTAATAATGGGAAAACAAGTTATATTAATGAGTTTTTAAGTGAGCCACGCTATTATTGCTTTACAATGAATTTTTAGCATAAACTAGTAGACACTGTAAGTTTAAAAAAAGGGGAGAAGGGTGAACTACCAGAAAACAATTCGATTGTTATCATAAACTGAGTTGTATTTTATCATTCTTATTACAACTTCCTTGCATTAGTTCTTTGTGTATACACAAGAGTCATGGATGAGAGAACAAGGATAAAATATGAAACAAACTGGATCTTTACCTAAAACTCAAACCAAATCTTTTATTTATTTATTCAGGTTTGAAAAAGTTTGACTAACTCTTTTTGTGAAATCTTTGTCATCTTCATGTGACTCTGAACTTGTCTGTTCCATCTGGAGGCAGAAGTGCTGAAGTACAGAGAGCGGTTATGTCTCCATGGTTTGAACTTCCTCAAATTTCAGGGAGAGGGTGTGGTTGGTTGCGTCCCCCTCGCTCAGATCTGTGTTCAAACTTGGTGTTCATTTGAAAATTCAAAACAAAACAGATAATGCTGTATACTTTTTTTAGGTTCATTCAGGACCAGTAACAGTAGCAGGGAATAAAACTGGAAATTAAAGTAAA